AAATGAGAAAAAGCTGATATTTGTGATAGTTATTGATTTATTTATTTGAAAATCAGGAGATCAATAAGCAACCAACACTTGAATCTTCTTCAGTCAGAAATAAAACTGTAACAAATGTTCATCATTTACACCAACATGGAGATAATTTATATTTATAGTAGCTGGATTGTGGAGATTTATATCAATCAGAAGTAAGATGTGATTTCAATAAACAGATTTGTGTTTTTGATGCAATATGAGAAAACAGAACAAATATATACATGCACATAATCTTAAATATTACCAATAACCCTTCAGATTAGAGCTTATTTTATATTTTGCTGATTAATTTTATGTCAATAGAATAATATAACAAGGTATTAAAATGTTCTGGTGTTCAATGTGTAACCAATGTTCACTGACTTCTCACCAAAATCCAGATATTTCAGTAACTTTAAGTAACTCTGTTCAATATTTTCATAATAACAATGGATCAAATATCAAAATGTAGGGATACATATATAATTTAAAAGATAGCAGATATATAATATTGCACTAATATTAATGATTCCAAAATATATTGTGGAAATTAACTGCAACTCTCCATCGTTCCACAAGGTGCAAAGAAATAAATCAATTGAAGTAAGTTTCAATCTACAGTTATGTTGACATTGTGTCTGACAGTGGAGCTGATCTCAGAGCAGTTCAGACTGCAGCACTGAGAGTCATCTCCACTGGTTGTGATTCCTCTGTCAGTCACTGCTGGATGAAGCTCTCCTCTCCACTCTACCTCCCAGTAACATGGCCCAGTCAGAGCTGATGCTGCTGCTTCAGCCTCTCTGGATCATCAGGACACAGCTGATCCTCCAACACAACCTCCTTCCTCACCACTCACACTCTGACTGAGATCATGTCAATCTGAGGAGAGAAGAAGACAGACAACAGAAGTCATAAATCAGTGTTTACAGAGACTCCCTCCATCAGCACATCCAGTATAAAGACCAGCAGGGACTTCAGTCCAGTTCAGACCAGAAGGTGAGCGGCTGCGTAGCGTAGCCTGCTTCCTTTCAGCTCTCATGTTAACGTATTGGAGTGAACACACTGAGCTGAAGCCAGGGTGTGTCGCAATTAAACGGCCAAACACCGGCCCCTCATTGGTCAGAGATCTTCAGACACCAGACCTGTTATCATGGCTATTTAAGCCAGAGAGATGATCTTCTCTCTCTCTTTTCATCTACCTTCGCTCCTGCTCACACAAGGACTGTTTAATGATTGTTAATGTTGCTGATGTGTCAAAACCTCCTGCCTCTCATGCTCTCTGCCTCACACACACTCCTTTAGTTATTTTAAGTTAGACTGTATATTGTGTATTTTCCTCTGTTTGCTTTTATTATATCTGGTTTATAAATGTTTGTGTTTACATATGCTGGCCTATTTAATTTAAAGAGTGAGTGATACCAACCTCTTCTACGTAGAACTCCAAAGCCCCCACTCTAGCTATTATTAATGATTTTGGTTGTAATTCTGATTTCTGAATAAATAGTTTAGAGTAATTTTTATGAGACTGATCAATCGATAATTGGTTATCGTTCCCTTATTTAAGGGTGGTGCCCCGAAGAACTTTAATATTAATTAAAGTAATTAGGGATCGAGCACTGACAAGTGCAAGACCCTATTGTTCATCTAGGAATTATTATACTTCTGCCCCTTCTAACGCATATTTGACCCCCGCAGCATTCTCAAAATGTCATGAAAATTTGCACAAAATTCAAACGTAGCGAAAATACCAATATGACATTGTCCCCGTGCACGGGCGCCACCAAACGGCTAAGCCACACCCCCCAGAATCAGCCCCCAAGACACGTAAGGCCGACATGTACGAAAATTGGTACGCATGTGTATCGTGATAAAAGAAGCAGAAAAGCCTCAAGGACCCATACCTCAAACCCAACAGGAAGTCCGCCATTTTGGATTTTGTGGCCATTTTTGGCGATTTGCACACGTTGTATTTGAACGAACTCCTCCTAGGGAATTTATCAGACCGACTTCAGATTTGGACACAGCCATCTAAACACATTCACTATTAAAAGTTGTGCTATTTACGTTATTCCGTTAAACTTTGTGGATGTGGCGTGGCGTCCCGTGGCGTGCAATTTCGATCCTTTGCCATAAAAAGAGGGATTCGTAATAACTTCTGCGTACATGATCCGACTGCAACGAAACTTCACATGTCTGATAAGAGTCCCGCCCTGAACAAGTCAATGTGATAATATTCAGTAATAGTGAGAGCGCCATCTAGTGGTAAAAGAAAATGTCATTATTTTATACTTCCATGTTCTACTCCTAGTAAAATAATCAGATTAAGCTGAAATGTAGTCAGGAAATACAAAACATGTTATTAATTATATTTTTTGATTGTGGTGAGTTCTTATTAAAGGGTGTGTCGCTGGCATGGCGTCAAATTTTGATGTACCGCCAGAACACACAAAGTTGCTATAACTTGAGTGTACATTGTCCAATCGGCTCCAAACTTCACTTGCCTGATAAGAGTCCCGCCTTGAACACTTCTATGTGATAATATTCAGTAATAGTGAGAGCGCCCCCTAGTGGTGAAAGGAAATGTATTTGTTGTACTTTTATTTATATCTTCGAGCATATTGACCAGATCCAGCTGAAATTATGTGAGAAGTTCCTTAGGAGGATGAGGATCACATATTATTAATCTTAAGAATTTGCACGAAACCATGTTGCCATGGCGACGCGGCAAAAATCACAAAAATTGACAATTTAGGGCGGACTAAACATGTCTGAAAACTCATGAAACTTTGCACAGCATTCGATGATCCGGAACGGCGAGGGATTGTCTTGGTCCCGCGGATGGGCGTCGCAAAATGGCTTAGCCACGCCCCCTAGCGTCAGCCCGTATGAATGACATGTATGACACGCATGTGTATGATGATAAAAGAAGCAAAAAAGTCTCTTGGACCCATACCTCAAACCCAACAGGAAGTCAGCCATGTTGGATTTTGTCTCGATTTGCACACGTTGTATTTGAACTAACTCCTCCTAGGGCATTTATTGGAGCGACTTCAGATTTGGACACAACCATCTAAACACATTCACCACTAAAAGTTGTGCTCTTCAGTTTTTTTCGTCAAACTTCCTGCCCGTGGCGTGGTGTCCCGTGGCATCCAATTTCGATCCTTCGCCATAAAAAGAGGGATTCGTAATAACTTCTGCGTACATGATCCGACTGCAACGAAACTTCACATGTCTGATAAGAGTCCCGCTCTGAACACATAGTGATAGCGCCACCTAATGGCAACAGGAAGTAAGTGCTGCGTGGCGATTTTGAGCCGATTTACGTGAAATTTTCATGTTGTGGTCCGCGCTTGTTACGTCGGCACGTGACGTAGCCGCAGTTCACCCCGACGGCATTTGTGACTCTGCCGCAGCACGCCCGACGCGCGCCGGTGTGCAAGATCCCGTCCAACGCTGCTTGCAGCTTTAATTTTCTATCATATTTTGATAATTCTAATTTTTGATAACCATTAATTGATTAAACTATTACAGTTATACCATTCTAACACCCTACGTCGTAGAGCCCGACAATAATATAAAATAAATAATACATAATAATAATATAAATAATAATAAAATAATATACATATTAGGACTAAACAAAAGACAAATAGACAGATATATATCTGATGTTAAAGGTCCTACATGTTCATATAAAGACTGAACAATAGCTGTGATTACTGGACTTCAGTAGAGGTTCTGGTCTGTACAAAGACCACATGGTCACTAAATATAATGATGGTTCTCTGAAATAAGATCCAGTGGTTTGCAGGCTTCAGTCAGACTGATTGTAGAGCTGTGACAAAGATGAACTGATCAGTTGTTTAGTGTTGAAATGAGAGAACAAACACTGAGATCAGATTTGATGGTACGACAGTTTGATGAATGAGGACCACTGTCTCTGTACATCTTGTAATGCTGTCAGCTGGAATCCAGCTTTATTTCCTGTAGACACGAACACAACAACAACAGTCGTCTTCGCATCAACTCAAACACATGATCACAACAAGCTTCAGGCTCGCTGATTGGCTGACTGTTCTCTCTCTCTGTCTTTCTGTCCAACCCTGAAGTCTGTCACCATCCTCCTCTCACAGCTTCACTGAGGAAAGCAGCAAATACTGGATCTTTGCTTTGATACTAACTGTGTTTAGTACAATTCTGCTGAAACCAGCATGGACTGACTCCAACCCTGTACTGACCTCAGAGTCTCCAGTCTACAGTGTGGACTCTCCACAAGATCAGACAGCAGCTTCACTCCTGAATCCTGCAGCTTGTTGTCTCTCAGATCCAGCTCTCTCAGATGGGAGGGGTTGGACTTCAGAGCTGAGACCAGATAATCACAGCTGATCTCTGACAAACTGCAGCCGAACAATCTGAATAAAGAATAAAAGATGTAAGTTTAGAAGACAATGTTCCTGCTTGAAATCATTCAGTTTTTTCAATAATCTGAGCTGAAGAAGGTTTAAAATGTACAAGTTTAGAAAATGTGAACAAAAGACATCTACAATAATTATTTTAGGAATAGTGGAGTCATAAAAAAAGTTTAAACTATTCAGTCAGTATAAACATCAAATAGCTTCATAAAAATGTTGGAAAAAGAAAATACTGAATATATTTGTTATTGTCTGATATGTAGATGGAGCAGAGATTATTTGTTTATTTAATGTATTTGTGTATTTTTTAGTATTAATTATATTGAAACGAATATAAGTAAAGATTTTAGATCATGGATTTTTCTTGTTATATTCAGGTTTTAAATGTGGAGCTCAACCTTGCTCTGCCACAGTCAATGGACTAAACCACTGAAGAAGAAAACAGACTTTAGCATTAAGATACTCAGTGTGGATCAGTATAATATCAGCCTTATGTCTGCACTTTACTGTCAGCACAACTTTCACATCATATTAATCTCAGCACAGAAGGAATAAATGGTGTCTGACCTCAGAGTCTCCAGTCTACAGTGTGGACTCTCCAGAAAACCACACAGCAGCTTCACTCCTGAATCCTGCAGATTGTTGTTGTTACTCAGCCTCAGCTCTCTCAGATGGGAGGGGTTGGACTTCAGAGCTGAGACCAGATAATCACAGCTGATTTCTGACAGACTGCAATGACTCAATCTGAATAAAGAATAAAAGATGTAAGTTTAGAAGACAATGTTCCTGCTTGAAATCATTCAGTTTTTTCAATAATCAATAAATGATGTAATTGAAGGCAATGGCATCAGCTCTCGGGGTTCGGAGAGCAGTGATAAAAAAACATAAATTGAAAGAAGATATTAAAAATCCGGAGTTGGTGTGCATATGATTCAGACCTCACACTAAATAAACTCAATGATAGATTCAATGTTTGGATAAAGAAAGGTATAATATCTCTATACAGCATTATACAGAAAGATGAAATTATGTGTTTTCTAAAGGTATCTCCAATTAAAAAATAATAATAATAAAAAAGAAAAATACCAGAGAAGCCAGTAAACCCTTTATGCAACTTCTCATGAATGTATATAATTCAGATATTAAAAGAGGGGTCATCTCTCAAATGTAAAGGAGTCTCCACAATCTAAAAGGTCATTCAACAAAATATATAAAAGATAGATGGGAGAAGGAAGGAGACCTGACAATAACAGACAAAGAATGGGAAGATATTTGTGTATTTCAATGGAAGAGTACAAAATCTCATGCTTGGAAAGAATTGATGCTTGAAGAAGAAAACAGACTTTAGCATTAAGATACTCAGTGTGGATCAGTATAATATCAGCCTTATGTCTGCACTTTACTGTCACCACAACTTTCACATCATATTAATCTCAGCACAGAAGGAAAATATGGTGTCTGACCTCACAGTCTCCAGTCTACAGTGTGGACTCTCCAGAAAACCACACAGCAGCTTCACTCCTGAATCCAGCAGTTCGTTGTGATTCAGCCTCAGATCTCTCAGATGGGAGGGGTTGGACTTCAGAGCTGAGACCAGATAATCACAGCTGATCTTTGACAAACTGCAACGGCTCAATCTGAATAAAGAATAAATTATTTAAGTTTAGAAGACAATGTTCCTGCTTGAAATCATTCAGTGTTTAATGATATTGAGATTTATATGGCAGGAAAAAGACCTCGAGTACGATATAAAACATTACAGCTACTGAAAGAAAGAGGAGGCTGGGGTTTACCATCACAGAAACATTATTATATCTCAGCACAGATGAGAGCATCAGCTCTCGGGGTTCGGAGAGCAGTGATAAAAGAACATACATTGAAAGAAGATATTAAAATCCTGAGTTGGTGTGCATATGATTCAGATCTCATACTAAATAAACTCAATGATAGATTCAATGTTTGGATAAAGAAAGGTATAATATCTCTATGCAGCATTATACAGAAAGATTTCAATTCAATTCAATTTTATTTGTATAGCACCAATTCATAACAGAAGTTATCTCAGGACACTTTTCAAATAGAGCAGGTCTAGACCAAACTCTTTGTAACATTATTTAGAGACCCAACAGTACCACCATGAGCAAGACCTTGGAGACAAGGGCAAGGAAAAACTGCCTGTTAAAAGGCAGAAACCTAGGACAGATCCTTCAGCTCTAGGTGGGTGGTCGTCTGTCTCGACCAGTTGGGGTGAGAGACAGAGAGAGAGAGACAGAGAGAGAGAGAGAGAGCGAGAGACAGACAGACAGACAGGTGCACAGCAACAACAGTATTGGCAATGGCAATCTAGCAGGACCATGGCAGGAGGCTCCACCAGGATCGATAAGAACCTGCAAGACGAGAAGCACAAGAACTCCGGGGAAGAAGTGAAGTTAGTAACATGCATTAATGGAACATGAATGAGTGCAGAAAGATGAAAAAGATGAAACTATGTGTTTTCAAACATTAAGAGATCATTTTTCATTGGAAAAACAGGATTTCTAAAAATATCTCCGATTAATAAATTACTATAATCAAAAAGAAAAATTCCAGAGAAGCCAGTAAAACCTTTATGCAACTTCTCATAAATGCATATAAGTCAGATATTAAAAGAGGGGTAATCTCTCAACTGTATAAGAGCCTCCACAATCTAAAAGCTCATTCAACAAAATATATAAAGGATAGATGGGAGAAGGAAGGAGACCTGACAATAACAGACAAAGAATGGCAAGATATTTGTGTATTTCAATGGAAGAGTACAAAATCTCATGTTTGGAAAGAATTGATGCTTGAAGAAGAAAACAGACTTTAGCATTAAGATACTCAGTGTGGATCAGTATAATATCAGCCTTATGTCTGCACTTTACTGTCACCACAACTTTCACATCATATTTATCTCAGCACAGAAGGAAAAAATGGTGTCTGACCTCAGAGTCTCCAGTCTACAGTGTGGACTCTCCAGAAAACCACACAGCAGCTTCACTCCTGAATCCTGCAGATTGTTGTGACTCAGCCTCAGCTCTCTCAGATGGGAGGGGTTGGACTTCAGAGCTGAGACCAGATAATCACAGCTGATCTCTGACAAACTGCAACGACTCAATCTAAATAAAGAATAAATGAAGATCAAAACAAATTTTTAGATGTGTCCCAATCAATGAGTTTTTCTCTAAAATTAGTAGAGTGACTTTATCATTGTGTTATTAGAGACTTAGACTTAGACTTAGACTTCACTTTATTGATCCCTTTGGGATGACTCCCTCAAGGAAATTGAATTTCCAGCAGCTTACAAACACTTACACACAAGAAAATACAATATAAGATAAACAATAAACTCTAAGCTAAATATAGAAAGTAGAGATAAGAATAAAAATAAAATAAAATTCAAGTAAAAAATAAAAGAAAATTAAAATAAATGTAGAGAACTGTATAGAGGATAAATATAGATAAATATATATAGGACTGTATATGGCATTGTGTTATTGTACAGCGGATAAATTACATTAGCAGAAATTAGCAGTTAAATTAAATTATTGCACTTAAGTGGTGGAATAAGTTATTGCACAAAAAAGAAGAAGAGTGTCCAGGTATGTCTACCTGGTGGTGTCCTTCAGCCTGACGTACTGTGGATCATCATAATGTCATCCTTCTACAGACATCATCCAAATGTCAACACAACCTTCATACACCTATTCATGTCAACACTGATCAATAACATGCTGCTGATTTCAGTCAGGTCTGTAATAACGATCAAATATGACATTTTGTTACTTTAATTTTGTTTCTTCTAATTCATAAAAATCACATGTCATTGTTTAAAAAATACTAAGATGTGATGTTTTGATTTGGCCAATATCAAATAAATAAGACTATAAGAAAAAAATAACAATTCCAGTAAATAGAAAATGTTACACCCTTTTTAACAGCTAACACATTTGTATCTTGTTTGCCAATTGCCTGAAGCCACAGATCTTTTCTGTGTCTGTTTGTTATGGAGTGGGATCAGGGATTTAAATTACCTCTCAAATGTTAGAAAATGCACACTGACTGTAATCTGTGTCTGTGAAAACATTTGGCTACTGTGCCATTGATGATAAATGATGATTAATTAATTGTTTATTAAGTAATTGTGTGATCAGATGGCGTCATCCATTAATTCATAGTAGGCCTATAATGAGTTGCTGTGACATTTGTTCTGTGGTTATTGATAATAAGCTACTTTGTGTTGAAATGTTACTGTAGGCTGGCTAAAACTATTTCAGTTGTTTGACAGTCGGAGACAGCCGGCTGTGGTGGTTTGAGCTGTTAGATTTGCGTTGATAGATTTGACACTTGGTCTGCTGTCTGTGGTTCTGATCACAGGCTGCAGGTTTATAATAGTGTGGAGTTGGTGTGTGTCTATATGTGTATATGTTTATACTTTTTGGGGCAGGGGATGGGGGGGCACAGGAACAATATTTGCACCGGGCCGATCACAAATATGTTACGTTGCTTCAAAGACTATGAATGCTGATTAAATTTTGCAACATATTGTAGAATTAATCCTCCAGTTTTCTTACCAACATGAATCCAGTACAGAGTAAATTAGGAGTCAAACTGTAGATATACACTGTACAAAAGCAAAATACATGAACTGACCTCAGAGTCTCCAGTCTACAGTTTTTACTCTCCAGTCCAGCACACAACAGCTTCACTCCTGAATCCTGCAGCTTGTTGAAACTCAGGTCCAGATCTCTCAGATGGGAGGGGTTGGACTTCAGAGCTGAGGCCACAACTTCACAGTGAGTCTCTGAGAGTCCACATGAGCAAAGCCTGTGATGACAGAATATGAATTTAAGTATAATAAAATCTGACATTTTATTATAAAGATATACTTTTGGGCAAAGCACATTAACATGAGCGACTGTAGCTCAGCTGGTCAGTCATTGATCACAAGGGCTGTGGTTTGAAACTTGAGCTCCTCCTGTCCACAAGTGCTGTGATTTGTGATTGTTAAACTTTATTTTAACAGGATGTTCAATGAGCTGTATAATCACTATAGGTTGTAACTGCACTCATATGTATTTATCTCAGTCATGTGCTTCTTGTGTGTATTTTGTGCATCTTTAATCCATCTAGGGTTGCAGCTGTATATCAATACCATGTTATACTGTGGTATGAAATCATACTATGTACATTTGCTTCTCAACGGTATTTAATTCTGTTGTATTTGTGTTATTAAAAATATATAGTAAATTTTTTTATTAAATTAACAAACAAAAATAACTCATCCTTCTGTTTTTATTACTGTAACTGATAATTAATAACTGTGTAATACTGTATACCTTTAAACTGTGATTCTGAGATGGTTATTATACTGTGAAAATCTCACTAATGCAGCCCCAGATGCATCTTATTATGTTGCTCCAGCTGCTTTTCATCTCCCATTAAATTAATGTAATGACTCCTATTGCATTAATAGTATAATAAACTTTTTTCACAGGAGCCATTTTGATATGAAACAGGAGGGTAAACACAGGTGTTACCAATGACACTAATTAAGGTTCTGTTACATTCAGGTCAAACACAGTCAGGGTGCTGCTACTGTGCATCATGGCTCACTGGAAAGGCTCTGCTACACCAAATGAACCTTCATTAGTAAAGAAGCTCTCTCCTTTTCCCTCTCTCTCTCTCTGGTGGTATTTGAATGGACTCGTCTGTAAACTGGTTTATGAATAAAAAATAGTTAGAAAGAAAACATGTGAAAATACGTTCTTTATTAAGAACTAAACAATATAATCTTTACTCTAATACTGATGGCTTCAACTTTACATTGATTTATAATGTAATCACATCTGGACTTACTCAGCCTTTCTGCAGTTCCTCACAGCTGGAATCAGTCTCTGTCGTCCCTTTACTGATGTGTTGTACTTCTTCAGTTCCAACTCATCTAGAACCTCCTCTGACATCTGCAGCATGTAGGCCAGAGCTGAGCAGTGGATCACAGAAAGTTTTTTCTCTGATCTGTTCTCTGACTTCAGGAACTCTTGGATCTCCTGATGGACTGAGTGGTCGTTCATCTCCATCAGACAGTGGAAGATGTTGATGCTTCTGTCAGGAGAGATATCATCACTGTTCATCTTCTTCAGGTTGTTGATGGCTCTCTGGATAACTTTTGGACTGTTGTCTGTCTGACCCAGCAGGCCTCCTAAGAGTCTCTGGTTTGACTCCAGAGAGAGGCCATGAAGGAAGCGAACAAACAGGTCCAGGTGGCCATTTTTACTTTTGAGGGATTTCTCCATGGTTCTCATCAGAAACACATCCAGGGTTGAATTAACATGTTTTTGACCCAGGAAGTCCTTCAGTACTTTGGTGTTCTTGTTGGTGTAACAGTGGAACATGTAGACTGCAGCCAGAAACTCCTGAATGCTCAGATGAACAAAGCAGTAGACTGTTTTCTGGAAGATCACACTCTCTCTTTTGAAGATCTCTGTACAAACTCCTGAGTACACCGAGGCCTCTGTGACATCAAGACCACACTGCTCCAGGTCTTCTTGGTAGAAAATGATGTTTCCTTTCTCCAGCTGTTCAAACGCCAGCCTCCCCAGCTTCAGAAGAACTTCCCTGTCAGCCTCCATCAGCTCCTGTGGACTCTTCTCATGTCCCACATCATACTTCTGCTTCTTCCTCTTTGTCTGAACCAGCAGGAAGTGTGAGTACATGTCAGTCAGGGTCTTGGGCAGCTCTCCTCTCTGGTCTGTAGTCAACATGTGGTCCAGAACTGTAGCAGAGATCCAGCAGAAGACTGGGATTAGACACATGATGTGGAGACTCCTGGAGGTCTTGATGTGTGAGATGATTCTGCTGGACAGATCTTCATCACTGACTCTCCTCCTGAAGTACTCCTCCTTCTGGGCGTCAGTGAAGCCACGTACCTCTGTTACTCTGTCAACACATTTAGGAGGGATCTGATTGGCTGCTGCAGGTCTGGAAGTTATCCAGATGAGAGCCGAGGGAAGCAGATTCCCCTTGATGAGGTTTGTCAACAGCACGTTGACTGAAGACTTCTGTGTGACGTCAGACACAACCTCATTGTTGTGGAAATCCAGTGAAAGTCTGCTTTCATCCAGGCCGTCAAAGATGAACAAAAGTTTACAGACAGCGAGCTGCTCTGCTGTGACCTTCTGTAATGTTGGATGGAAAACATGGAGCAGTGTGAGAAGACTGTACTGCTCATCTTTGATCAGGTTCAGCTCCCTGAACGAAAGCAGAACCACCAGACTGACATCTTGGTTCTCCGAGCCCTCTGCCCAGTCCAGAGTGAACTTCTGCACTGAGAAGGTTTTTCCAACGCCAGCGACGCCGTTCGTCAGAACCACTCTGATGTGTCTCTGTTGGTCAGGTAAGGCTTTAAAAATCTCGTAGCACTTGATTGGAGTTTCATGGAGGGTCTCCATCTTGGAAGCTGTCTCAAGCTGCCTCACCTCATGTTTATTAACCTCTTCACTCTGTCCCTCTGTGATGTAGAGCTCAGTGTAGATCCTGTTGAGGAGGGTTCCACTTCCTGTTTCATCAGTTCCTTCAGTCACATGTTTACATCTCGTCTTTAGACTGATCTTATGTTTATCTAAAACCTCCTGCAGACCACCACTCACTAAAAAAGATAAAACAAGACAAAACTAAAACTCTAACAGTCTGTTCTGAGGTACCTGAATTTATCTCTTTCATTGTGGGTTTGTTTTTGTGTCTGATTTACGTATACTTTGTGTTTCTATGTCTGTGTTGTCGTTCAATTTGTGTCCAACAATGAAACTGTTGATCATTTTCATTACAGATACAACAATTAATATAAGAATATATAGAAATGTAAAGCTTCTAAAGTCCAGTTTTGGAGAGTTTTTTCTGTCAGCCTCTGACTGTGTGTAAGTGTACGTGTTTAATTGACAGGCTGAGCCTCAGCAGGTCTTCATCTGAACATCTTTCATCTGTAGCTGTTTCATCCTCCCGTAATATTTAAAATTGATCCACGATCAAATAATACAGAAAATGTTCATGTCATGAAGACCTGTTTTTAAAAAAAAGAAATTCAAGTCACTGGTACTTGGCCACCATGCTGCCAATGGTATAGGTTCATCCTACATTCAGCCTGAAAACTCTAAAACTAAATGTAGCACTTTAGATGTTCAGCTTATTTGATGAAGTTGATGAAGTTACATGATTCATGCAATATTTGAGTTGAACTTATTGTAAGTCTCTTAATAAACTAAATGTAGCAGATTAGATTTTGAAGATACAGTCTTACTTTGTACAGTGCTGGTCTGACTGGCTGTCTGCAGTCCAGCTCTTGTTCTGGATCTTTCTCCACACTGGGGACAGGAGGAGTCTCCTGATGAAGCAGACTGGTCCCAGTATGAGGTGATGCACTGTCTGCAGAACCAGTGTCCACAGCTGGTAGAGACTGGATCCTTCAGGACGTCCTGACACAAAACACAGCAGGACAGCTGCTCCTCCACAGAAACATGACTCCTCTTCCTCTCTCTGTGAAGACATTTCTTTATTACTAAAATGATTTGTTGATTGTTGATGAAAAATACTGAGATTTGTCCGACACTGTCTGGAAGCTCAGATGGTCACAGAGAACATTAAAAGTGTTGTTAACTTTTCTGTTTGAATTCAGCATTCAGTCTGTAATGAAAATGATTCCTTTTATTTCAACTCTCCTGCTTTCATAAACACTGAGTGCTTTTCCTATCTGTCTGTCTTATTAAACATTTATTGATCTGCCTGTAGTTTGTTATTAATACAAACTCAACACTTCCTGCAGCTGCTTCACAATAAAAGCCTTCCATTAAAGAGAGCTGATTATGTCCTTCACTGTTCTACAGTCACTTTGGGCAGATTAGCTTGTGTTAGTTTAAACTGAGGTTAGAAGTGCTCTAAATAATTATGATAGACCAGCAGTTTACTGTAAGACACATAGCACGTAACAGTGGTGTCACAGGTTCAACTACAAACTGTTTATTTGTTTGTTTTTCCTTCCTTTTATGTTTCCTGTCACTCTATATTGTCAGCTATCAAATGAAGGAATATATCCAGTTCAAATATTCTTAAAAAGAAGTCTCCAAATCTACATTTGACATTTTCTGTCCCTGTTTTTAAATCTGCAGATAACTTTTACATAAATAAATGGATGTTTGTTTCTTCATCTTTAGAAACAATATATTTAATTACACATTAGAAACAGATTATTTTAGATAATAGTTACAAATATTAACAGCGACTTCAACATTAGAGCAAAAATATATGAATATTATTATATTATATATGAAATATGAACTCTGAAACTGAGGTTCTGAAGTGTTTTGCTAAAGAAATAAAATAAAATACATTTTAGTTTGAAACAGTGTCTGCACTAATAGTTCTGCATCATGAAAATAAATCTATTTTGTTTTCATGCTCAATGAATCATCTTCCATCAGGTCAGTTTACAGTAAAAACAGTTTCTTACTTTGTGTCTGAGGGTCCAGGTTCATTACTGAAGAATGGATTATCATCTTTGGACCGATCACTCTTCATAGACAGACAGCTGGACACTGGAGACTCTGCTCTGTCCTCCTCTTCCTCCACACAAGCACTCATCTTCTGGACTTCAGTCAGTCTGAGAGATAAATATTAACACTGACTCAAAACAGAAGAATCAGGAAAAACAGGTTTGTCTGTTTGTCACATGCAAGGTTGAGAGAACAAGAAGTAACACACACACACACACACACACACACACACACACACACACACACACACACACACAGTACTCTGTATAGTATATAGAGTATACAGTATAATATAGAACTCCACCTGGTCACTTTCTTTAACCCTGTACTTGTTTTCTTGGGTTACAGTAGCTTTAATCTGTATTATTCAGTCAATCACAACTTTGTATCCACAGATGAATCAAACTGTTGAGTTCATTTGTTGTATATTGAGTAGCAATGATGTGAAGATGTGTTGAAGAGAAGTCCGCTGACACCGTCTTGATTGTATTTAAAGGTTTATTACAAAAAGTTCAGCATCAATACAAGCACCGCGGAGCTTGGAGAGCATCCAGCCAAATGAACAACTCTGTCTATTTTGCATCGAACATAGGTTTATATAGACCTGTTGTTTACTCCAAAAATGGAAAGAAACATCTGGATTAGCTATCAGATGTACTGAAATAAGGGGAGATGGGGGTTTTCAAGGCAGAGGTCAGAGGTCATTGAGAGGCCCCTAACCTAAACACTGCCTAGTAAGAATTACGACGTTGAACCTCATGACTTACTAACACTACATATGGTAACAAAATATCATTTCAACTTATACCAAAATGTATTTTAACTTTATAAGCTTTAAGATAAGCCTTCAGATACTACACATTCTTACATTTCTATCCTCTACAGTCCACAGGAAGAAAACTGACTCAGAGACTTTGACAGTAAAATAATAATAATGTTGCATTAACACTCACCCTGCCTCAGCCTTCAGTTTCCCTCCTTCTGCTCTGTTGACTCAAAATGGAGACTGAACCAACTGAACACTTTCACCTTTACCTGGTGTTATGTCAGCTCCTCCCCTCTCTATGTCCAGGAAGATAAGATAATTCCTTTATTTATCCCCCTAAGGAGAAATTCAGGTTGACACAGCAGCAATAGAGCAAAGCAGCGCAAAAACAGAAAACAAAGAATATCACTGTAAAAATATTGCTAATATTATTAATATTAGAAGATATAAAAACTATAAATTAAAGTATATACACTATTTGTTGTTTAAGTAGGACATGGAGTCCAAAATATGAGCAGAAAATTAAAACTTGACTAAAACTAAAAAACTAAAACTAAACTAAAACTACTAAACTACTAAAGTGGAAATTAAATATAAATAGTGCAAAAGGTTTGTACGTTGTAGGTAGGAGTTCTAAACCAGTCTTTATCTGCTGGGGTTGGAGGAACTGGGAGCTGTGGCGTTGTGGAGTCTGGTGAGACTCAGGTGAGTTTACACAGATCAACTTGTTCAACATGAGCGTCTCTCTCGGCTTGTAAAGACAATGAAATTGAGTTTTGGTAATGTTGGTGTTGGTACTTAAATGTTGTTTAAATAATATAATTAAACTAAAAACTTTAAACTAAATGAACTAAATGTTTTTTTTTAACATTTCCCCATTTGTGGGGGATGATACTCGGGGGCTGATCTATATAAAAATATCCATGGGTGACAAGAGGGTAGCGTAGAGACTTTAGAGATTGGCCAAAATATATATATATAATATATTAAGTTGTGGACTAATTTCTAATACTACAACACCTGAACGCACCACAAGAAGACCAGCTATAACAAAGCAGGCAGCAGGAAATACTGTTCATGTGTACTAATAAAGCATTTCTGTGATAGAACAGTAAATATGTGTGTGCAGGCAGCCTTTCACACTGTTGTTCAATCAAACCTCAACATTACTGGGCAGCTGGTGGAGCTACAATCAAGAGAAGATGGCCGCACACTGAACTCCACATTTGGACCAACCTCGGCCCTCACTTTGAGAAAGTTTAGTGTTCGCTCATCTTCTCTTCATTAAGTTAATTGTTATAATGAAGTGTAACATACACAGTTATTTACTCTCTATCTCTATGGGTCTAACATTCAGCCGTTAGTAATACCAGGCGGCGCATGCGAGGAAACCAAAGTTAACTGCAGAGGAACTGCTCTTGTTCTAAAATGTCAGATTGTGACGGACTTTTTAATAGCTGTTAGAAAATATGTGTAGGCAGACCTGAGTGTATATCTGATTATTTGACTGTGTTAACATCCATAAAATAAAGCAGCTTCAAGTGAACTACATCTCAGTGTCCGCCTGTGTTTCTGACTGCAACATTACCATTCACAACTAAGAGTTAATAAAGTAATAAAGTACTGTAATGGAACATTTGTCCTGGCCAGAAAGTAATAAAGTAATAAATGTGTTTCTGCTAGAAAGTAATAAAGTAATAAATGCAACAGGTGACTTATTGAAAGGCCTGACCTTCGTTCTCACAGTTCAGAGAGGGCCTGTTAGCTGATACATTTCACTGTGACTGTTAGGTGATAACAAATGTAAGGGAGGAATGCTTCTAATGCTTCTAAAGATGTATAAAACCCAGTGTGGGACTGCCCCACTCTGAGCATTTTCTTTTTCATCACAGAACTGCTCCTCTTGCTGCAAGATCAAAAACAACAAAACCTTTAAGGACTAATTGCTTGACTCAAGATCTTTATTTTTGTGTATTGGTGAGTGTCTTACAGGAAACTCACAGGTACTCTAGTGCTACCCCGGCCACCCCTCTAGCTCCGCCCCTGGCTGTGTGCTGTCTGAATGCAGATGAGACAGGAAAACTCTCTGAACTCTTGACAGAAGAAATTCAACAAAGAGGCTTCATTTACAGCAATGTGTATGAAATATATCAGTCTGTTTAGAAGTTACATCACATGACAAGTACAAGTTAGTTGTTAATATCAGGATGTGTGAGGTTTCTACAATCTGATACAGAATATTAGCAGATTATACAAATATAAAAAACAACAAGTAAACAGAAACATAATCTCACTCTAAAAAGAAAATCACAGAGATAAAGCTCAGGGATGAAATGAAACCAGTCACACCAGCACACAGACATATAAATACATGATTAGTACCAACAAAGAAGGAAGAAGGAAGCTCCTGAAGCTCAGTTTAAATGTCATTCAGTAAACAACACCACCACCTGCTGGCCAAAAGGATACATTACAACCACAATCACTGTTTATTCACTGACACATAAAGTACTATTGAGGGTGAAAGTGGAAATGTTTGTGTGTTTATTAGTGGTCCAAAAGTAGTAGCAGTGGCAGTGGTAGTTGATATCTTCTGTGTACTTATTGTGGAGCCTCTTTCCTAATGTTTATCTGCATATAAATGTTCCTTCAGTAAAAGTACAGAAGTATTTATAAGTATTAAAAGTAGTCACTGTGCAGATGTAAGCAGCAGTTTAATGCTGTAGGTGATTCAGGCGAGTGGAGATCATTTAAATACTTCACATGTTCTTGTGTCGTGTAATCTATTTTTTGATCCCATGTGTTGTTTGTAAAATGTGAACCTGCAGAGTAACTAGTAGGATGACAGCTGTCAGGTACATGTAGTGCAGTAAAACGTCCAATACTTCCAATGTAGTGGAGTACAAGTACCTCCACAATGTACTTAATGCAGTACTTGGATGTACTTAGTTACTTTCCACGTCTATATTTACTTAGTCAGCAGATGGTTCAGTTTGGACGAGTAATAGTAATAGTAGTAATAGTAATAGAAGTAATAGAAATAGTATTAATAGTAAAAGTAATGATAGTAATAGTAATGATAGTTGTAGTATTTGTAACTCCAGAAGTGATGGTTACAGTTACAGTCAGTGGTGGAAAGTAACTGAGTACATTCGCTCAAGGCCTGTACTTGAGTACAGTTTGAGGTATTTGTACTTTAATATTTAAATGTCATTCTACTTTATACATTTACTGCACTACACTGAAGTCCTGGACTTTTTACTGCAGGACATTTACCTGACAGCTGTTAGACGACGAGTTATTATCAGATATTTTACATACAAAACATGCACTCTGCTCCACTACATTTCACAGGGAACTACTGTATTCTTTACATTCATCTGACAGCAGCAGCTATCTTATAAAATCCACTGTTACTAATTCAACCAGTAGTTTCCAACATTCTTGTCTTATAAAAATACATCATCTAGTCGGGGCTCTTTGTCAAATATCAGATGTGTGTGAGTCGTTAGCAGTTCTCCTCTAAACCTACGTCTTTTATCTAAATACCAAAACAGTTTGAGGCCCAAACAAGTAAAACACAATATTTCGCAAATAAGAAATTGAGCATTTTCTTAATTAACTGCATCAATAAACACATGTGGAATGACACATAACAACGTTGTTTAATATCTTTTGCTCATTACAGAAGAAAAAAACATTTCACTGACAGTCTCATGCAGATGGGGACTCAACTTATTTCTCATTATTAGTTTAGTTAATTATATTTATTTATCAGGGACCATAAACAAAAACACATTAATCTCATACAAGGAGCAGAGATGCATTTTACCAGATTTAGCTACTAATTAATTTCCATCTGCAGTCCCTGGGCAGGTCCACATAAACATTAATTACGACCATTTTAAACACAGAAAGTGATGAAAGTGTATCCCTATTCTTACACTTTCATTAGTGTTGTTGCATTCAGCTCATAAGTAAACACACTGTAAACACACTGCTTTCTGTAAATAATGCAACCTGTTACAGAATATGATTGATTCATATGAAATAAGAACATAAACATACAGAATAAAAAAGAACAAGTAAACAGAAATATAATCCAATACTGATGAGAATGAGACTTCTGACATCAACCTCCATGATACAGAATAATGTGAAAAATAACAGCAGTTCTCCATCGTTCAACAGACTTTGACTAACAAGACTTTGAATGAATAAAAAAGTATAAAATGTATTTTTTGGTTAATGGAAGTTATCACTATAATGATGACACCCATATGTATGATTCCATAATAAATATATAATTTTGCACTAACAATAATTCTTAACTTTGGAGTCAGAATCTTGTTTCAGTTTGTAGACTTCAGTGAAGCTTTGATTAAAATAAAAACCTTCGACAGGTTTTATCTTCTAGTTTCTGTGTGTGACAAACAATTATCAGTTATACTGTGAGTAAAGTCTGGAATTGGTGGTAATAACCAGAACTTCATAGAGGAAACTTTAAGCATGCAAATTCCAAATGAATTAGAAATAACATGTGAAAATTAACTGCAATTCTCTGTGAATTCTTCTGTGAATGAATGAAAGAACAAAATCCAGGTGGAGGTTCCAGGTGGAGGAGGTGGTTGAGTGTGGAGCAGAAGGAGTGGAGGAGTCTCAGTGTGTCTGCAGAGACTGAGTAGAAGGACAGAGCAGCAGCAGAGCAGTCCAGATACACTGATGATACTCTGTCACATCCAGAGGAACACACAGGGATGATGGTGGACTTGACATTGTGTCTGACAGTGGAGCTGATCTCAGAGCAGTTCAGACTGCAGCACTGAGAGTCATCTCCACTGGTTGTGATTCCTCTGTCAGTCACTGCTGGATGAAGCTCTCCTCTCCACTCTACCTCCCAGTAACATGGCCCAGTCAGAGCTGATGCTGCTGCTTCAACCTCTCTGGATCATCAGGACACAGCTGATCCTCCAACACAACCTCCTTCCTCATCACTCACACTCTGACTGAGATCACCTCCATCTGATGAGAGAAGAAGACAGACAACAGAAGTCATAAATCAGTGTTTACAATCTTTCTCTGTCTTTCTCTCCAACCCTGAAGTCTGTCACCATCCTCCTCTCACAGCTTCACTGAGGAAAGCAGCAAATACTGGATCTTTGCTTTGATACTAACTGTGTTTAGTACAATACTGCTGAAACCAGCATGGACTGACTCCAACCCTCTACTGACCTCAGAGTCTCCAGTCTACAGTGTGGACTCTTCACAAGATTAGACAGCAGCTTCACTCCTGAATCCTGCAGATTGTTGGCACTCAGGTCCAGCTCTCTCAGATGGGAGGGGTTGGACTTCAGAGCTGAGACCAGATAATCACAGCTGATCTCTGACAAACTGCAGTACCACAAACTGAATAAAGAATAAAGATGTAAGTTTAGAAGACAATGTTCCTGCTTGAAATCATTCAGTGTTTAATAATCTGTTCAGAGCTGAAGAAGGTTTAGAATGTACAAGTTTAGAAAATGGAAACTCCAAACACCTGAACCCAACAGCAGGTTGAAAACTGTAAAATACAAAAAGGTAAAAAGAGCTCTCATTAATATTAATGACAACGTGCTGCTGCTTCAAAAAAGATGTAGTGACTTCAGCTCTTAACCTCTGCTAGCTCCATCAGTGGCTCCATCTATACAAACTCATGTTGTGCAGCCAAACACAAATAAAAACCCACAGAAACTGATTGAAGATTCAACTGAAGATCACAAAGCTGTCAAATATGTCAGGATGAATTTTGTGGAAATGTGAACAAAAGACATCTACAATCATTATTTTAGGAATAGTGGAGTCATAAAATCAAATTATCTTCAGTTTAAACTATTCAGTCAGTATAAACATCATATAGCTTCATAACAATGTTGGAAACATGGAATATATTTGCTATTGTCTGATAGATGGAGAAGGGATCTTTTATTTATTTATTGTATTTGTGTATTCTTTTGTATTATTTATTTTAAAACAAATATAAATAAAGATAAAATTCAAGAGTTTAAGAAGTTCAGAGTGAATTATCCAGTGTAGATTCTTCTTGTTATATTCAGGTTTTAAATGTGGAGCTCAACATTGCTCTGCAACAGTCAATGGACTAAACCACTGAAGAAGAAAACAGACTTTAGCATTAAGATACTCAGTGTGGATCAGTATAATATCAGCCTTATGTCTGCACTTTACTGTCAGCACAACTTTCACATCATATTAATCTCAGCACAGAAGGAAAAAATGGTGTCTGACCTCAGAGTCTCCAGTCTACAGTGTGGACTCTCCAGAAAACCACACAGCAGCTTCACTCCTGAATCCTGCAGGTTGTTGTTACTCAGGTTGAGCTTTCTCAGATGGGAGGGGTTGGACTTCAGAGCTGAGACCAGATAATCACAGCTGATCTCTGACAAACTGCAGTAATTCAATCTGAATAAAGAATAAATGATGAAGATAAAAATCCATTTATAATCCAATCCCATGTGTTCAGGTTTTACTTCTGAAATATTTGTTTTATTTTATTCCAGTATTGTGGACAATAAACAGGGACATATCTAGAATATCAGAATGAACTGGTCCCTGATTTGACAGACAGAACACATAAACCAGATCAAGAACACAAACCCACCTTCACTTCCATCAACTTAATCCCACATCCATTATCCCCACCCACCCACCCACATTCCCACATTGCTCACACAACCATAAAATAACATTAAGTTAAAAAGAAAAAGTACATTCATCAAGTTTGATGTGGTTCAGGATCTCCTTGAACCAGCTACTGTGTGATGGGGGAAGAGCATCCTACCATCTGAATACAATGAGGCGTTTACTGTCCTTCACTGATTAGGAAAGTAAAGAAAATCATAAACTGACTTCTTTTTATCGTTTAATGTGCAAAATGCGACGCAGCAGCTTTTAGGTGTAGTACCACTGTCTCAGCTATTGTTTCACCCAAAAGGGGGCGTGGTCGTTCTGAAGACAAGAAAGTGACGTATGGTTGCTTTCATCTATACTTAAAACACCTGAAATTGGAAGTATTTTCCACACAGTGTCTCTGTACAGTGTCTGAGAGAGAGAGGCCTTATGTACAAGTTCCTGTAAACTACTGTGTTCTGAAGGTTATGTGTAAAAAGACATTATTTCTGAAAATGTGTTTCTTGTTTCTGTGTACTTCTATTAATTTATTTTATACATATATGTGTCTCACATGTAACAAAACACAGTGGCGTTGATGCAGCCGGTGCCCAGCTGATTGTAAGGGCCCACAAAGGACAGCGACATTTGCTACTGTCTGTGGGTGGGCCCTTTTGCACCTTCACATACCGCGTTCAGCAGTGACTATGGTTATACTTTTTGGGCCAGGGGATGGGGGGGCACAGAAACAATATTTGCACCGGGCCGATCACAAATATGTTACGTTGCTTCAAAAACTATAAATGCTGATTCAATTTTGCAACATATTGTAAAATTAATCCTCCAGTTTTCTAACCAACATGAATCCAGTACAGAGTAAATTCTGAGTCAAACTGTGCAATCTGACAAACTTTAAAAAACAGCTGTTGTGATTTGTGCTCAGTCAAACCCAGAGAATAAGAGAACTGAAGAAAACGTAAAGCTTCTGTTACACATTTAAATTTAGTAGATATACACTGTACAAGAGCAAAATACATAAACTAACCTCAGAGTCTCCAGTCTACAGTTTTTACTCTCCAGTCCAGCACACAACAGCTTCACTCCTGAATCCTGCAGCTTGTTGTTAGTCAGGTTCAGATCTCTCAGATGGGAGGGGTTGGACTTCAGAGCTGAGGCCACAACTTCACAGTGAATCTCTGAGAGTCTACATGAGGAAAGTCTGTGATGACAGAATAAAATTTAAGTTTTTTAAAATTTATTTAAAATTTGACATTTTATTACAAAAAATAGACTTTTGTGCATTTTGCATCACAAAGTACATTAACATGAGCGGCTGTAGCTCAGCTGGTCAGTCAGTATTTTACATATCATATCACCAGTTCCTGGGTGTTCCTGCTGAAGGAGTCTCATGGCTGACAAAGGAAGTGCCGGCTGAATCAGAGATGCTTAAAAGGGGTTGGGCAGATAAGTAGGCTACACCATGTTGGCTGGAATCATGGGGAGATGCCTTAGTTAATATTAGACTGCATTATCTGGATATTATTTAAGGTTATTTTAGTTTGTTTAAATGTTATGTTTTAGTCTATTCCCCCTGTGTGTCAGAGTGGCCTGATCAGCCATTATTTAAGTTTCCCCAATGTCTCAGTTTATTTAGGTTGGTTAGGTCGGTTGGTTTAGTCTGTTCAGTTTGTTCAGTTAATGTAGCCTGAGTTAAGTTCTGTTAAGTTGACCTCTTTTATGGGCCCACAACGTTTTGTATGTTTTGTAAATTGATTATTAAAGTTACTTTTTGTGAAAATTTACCCTTGACTCCTCATGCCTGCCAGCTTGGTCCCTGACAGACTCCTATTGCATTAATAGTATAATAAACCTTTTTCACAGGAGCCATTTTGATATGAAACAGGAGGGTAAACACAGGTGTTACCAATGACACTAATTAAGGTTCTGTTACATTCAGGTCAAACACAGTCAGGGTGCTGCTACTGTGCATCATGGCTCACTGGAAAGGCTCTGCTACACTAAATGAACCTTCATTAGTAAAGAAGCTCTCTCCTTTCCCTCTCTCTCTCTCTCTCTCTCTGGTGGTATTTGAATGGACTCGTCTGTAAACTGGTTTATAAATCAATTCAATTCAATTTCAATTCAATTTTATTTGTATAGCGCCAATTCATAACAGAAGTTATCTCAGGACACTTTTCAAATAGAGCAGGTCTAGACCGAACTCTTTAACATTAATTACAGAGACCCAACAGTACCACCATGAGCAAGCACTTGGCGACAAGGGCAAGGAAAAACTGCCTGTTAAAAGGCAGAAACCTAGGACAGATCCTCCGGCTCTAGGTGGGTGGTCGTCTGTGTCGACCAGTTGGGGTGAGAGAGAGAGAGAGAGAGAGAGAGAGAGAGAGAGAGAGAGAGAGAGGGGGGACAGAGAGAGAGAGAGCGAGAGACAGACAGACAGACAGGTGCACAGCAACAACAGTATTGGCAATGGCAGTCAAGCAGGACCATGGCAGGAGGCTCCACCAGGATCCATGAGAACTTGCGAGACGAGAAAGCACAAGAACTCCGGGGAAGAAGTGGAGTTAGTAACATGCATTAATGGGACATGAATGAGTGCAGAAAGAGAGAGGAAGAGAGTAGCTCAGTGCACCATGGGAAATCCCCCGATAGTCTAGGCCTATAGCAGCATAACTAAGGGATGGTTCAGGACTCACCTGATCCAGCCCTAACTATAAGCTTTATCAAAGAGGAATGTCTTAAGCCTACTCTTGAATGTGGTGAGGGTGTCTGCCTCCCGAACCACAACTGGAAGCTGGTTCCACAGGAGAGGAGCTTGGTAACTGAAGGCTCTGGCTCCTGTTCTACTTTTAGAGACTATAGGAACCACAAGTAGCCCAGCATTCAGAGAACGTAATGTTCTAGTGGGGTAATAGGGTACTATGAGCTCTTTAAGATATGAAGGGGCCTGACCATGAAGAGCTTTATAGGTGAGGAGGAGGATTTTAAATTCAATTCTACATTTTTCAGGGAGCCAATGCAGAGAAGCTAGTACAGGAGAGATGTGATCTCTTTTTCTAGTTCCTGTCAGTACTCGTGCTGCAGCGTTCTGAATTAATTGGAGCGTTTTAATGGACTTATTGGGGCAACCTGATAATAAAGAGTTGCAGTAATCCAGCCTTGAAGTAACAAATGCATGGATTAGTTTTTCTGCATCTGTCTGTGATAGTATGTGTCTAATTTTTCTAATATTACGTAAATGAAAGAAGGCGGTCCTAGAGGTCTGCTTTATGTGGGAGTTAAATGACAAATCCTGATCAAAGATAACTCCAAGATTCCTGACAGTGGTGCTAGAGGCCAAGTTAATGCCATCTAGAGTGACTATATCTTTAGACAATGAGTCGCTAAGGTTTTTGGGGCCAAGAACAAGAATTTCGTTTTTAATTTCGAGTTTAACATCAGAAAATTGCAGGTCATCCAGGATTTTATGTCCGTAAGACATGTTTGTAATTTAGATAATTGATTAATTTCATTGGGTTTGATTGATAGATATAACTGCGTATCATCTGCATAACAGTGAAAGTTAATGGAGTGATTCCTAATAATGTTGCCTAAAGGGAGCATATATAAAGTAAATAGTATTGGTCCAAGTACAGAACCTTGTGGAACTCCATGACTAACTTTAGTATTTATGGAGGATTCATCGTTAACATGTACAAACTGAGAACGATCTGATAAGTATGACTTAAACCAGCTTAGGGCAGTTCCTTTAATGCCAATTTGATGCTCAAGTCTCTGTAAAAGAATATCATGGTCAATGGTGTCAAATGCAGCACTAAGATCTAATAATACAAGTACAGAGACAAGTCCATTGTCAGAAGCAGTCAGAAGGTCATTATTAACTTTAACCAGAGCTGTCTCTGTGCTATGATGAACTCTAAATCCTGACTGAAAATCCTCAAATAAACTATTGTTATGTAGAAAGTCACACAACTCTTTGGCGACTACTTTCTCCAGAATCTTAGAGAGGAAGGGGAGGTTAGAAATCTGTCTATAGTTGGCTAAAACCCCTGGGTCAAGAGTGGACTTTTTAAGAAGGGGTTTAATTACAGCTACTTTAAAGGACTGTGGTACACATCCTGATAATAAAGAAAGATTAATCATATCCAGTAAAGAAGTGCCAATTAAGGGAACAACTTCTTTAAGCAGCCTAGTTGGGATCGGGTCTAATAGACAGGTTGATGGCTTCGATGAAGAAATGACTGAAATCAAAATTATTTAGAATGAAAAAACATGTGAAAAGACGTTCTTTGTTAAGAACTAAACAATATAATCTTTACTCTAATACTGATGGCTTCAACTTTACATTGATTTATAATGTTAATCACATCTGGACTTACTGAGCCTTTCTGCAGTTCCTCACAGCTGGAATCAGTCTCTGTCGTCCCTTCGCTGATGTGTTGTACTTCTTCAGGTCGAACTCATCCAGAACCTCCTCTGACATCTGCAGCATGTAGGCCAGAGCTGAGCAGTGGATCTCAGAGAGTTCCTTCTCTGATCTGTTCTCTGACTTCAGGAACTCTTGGATCTCCTGATGGACTGAGTGGTCGTTCATCTCCATCAGACAGTGGAAGATGTTGATGCTTCTGTCAGGAGAGATATCATCACTGTTCATCTTCTTCAGGTTGTTGATGGCTCTCTGGATGATTTTTGGACTGTTGTCTGTCTGACCCAACAGGTCTCCTAAGAGTCTGTGGTTGGACTCCAGAGAGAGGCCATGAAGGAAGCGAACAAACAGGTCCAGGTGGCCATTTTTACTTTTGAGGGATTTCTCCATGGCTTTCCTCAGAAAGACATTCAGTGTTAAATTAAAATGTTTTTGACCCAGGAAGTCCTCCAGTACTTTTGTGTTCCTGTTGGTGTAACAGTGGAACATGTAGACTGCAGCCAGAAACTCCTGAATGCTCAAATGAACAAAGCAGTAGACTGTTTTCTGGAAGATCACACTCTCTCTTTTGAAGATCTCTGTACAAACTCCTGAGTACACCGAGGCCTCTGTGACATCAAGACCACACTGCTCCAGGTCTTCTTGGTAGAACATGATGTTTCCTTTCTCCAGCTGTTCAAATGCCAGCCTCCCCAGCTTCAGAAGAACTTCCCTGTGGGCCATCAGCTCCTGTGGACTCTTCTCATGTCCTTCATCATACTTCTGCTTCTTCCTCTTTGTCTGAACCAGCAGGAAGTGTGAGTACATGTCAGTCAGGGTCTTGGGCAGCTGTCTTCTCTTGTCTGTAGTCAACATGTGGTCCAGAACTGTAGCAGTGATCCAGCAGAAGACTGGGATTGGACACATGATGTGGAGGCTCCTGGAGGTCTTGATGTGTGAGATGATTCTGTTGGACAGATCTTCCTCACTGAATCTCCTCCTGAAGTACTCCTTCTTCTGGGCGTCAGTGAAGCCTCGTACTTCTGTTACCCTGTCAACACATTTAGGAGGGATCTGATTGGCTGCTGCAGGTCTGGAAGTTATCCAGACAAGAGCCGAGGGAAGCAGATTCCCCTTGATGAGGTTTGTCAACAGCACGTTGACTGAAGACTTCTGCGTGACGTCAGACACAACCTCATTGTTGTGGAAATCCAGTGAAAGTCTGCTTTCATCCAGGCCGTCAAAGATGAACAAAAGTTTACAGACAGCGAGCTGCTCTGCTGTGACCTTCTGTAATGTTGGATGGAAAACATGGAGCAGCCTGAGAAGACTGTACTGCTCATCTTTGATCAGGTTCAGCTCCCTGAACGAAAGCAGAACCACCAGACTGACATCTTGGTTTTCCAAACCCTCTGCCCAGTCCAGAGTGAACTTCAGCACTGAGAAGGTTTTTCCAACGCCAGCGACGCCGTTCGTCAGAACCACTCTGATGTGTCTCTGTTGGTCAGGTAAGGCTTTAAAGATCTCGTGGCACTTGATTGGAGTGTCATGGAGGGTCTTCTTCTTGGAAGCTTTCTCAAGCTGCCTCACCTCATGTTGGGTATTAACCTCTTTACTCTGTCCCTCTGTGATGAAGAGCTCAGTGTAGATCTTGTTGAGGAGGGTTCCACTTCCTGTTTCAGAAGTTCCTTCAGTCACATGTTTACATCTCGTCTTCAGACTGATCTTATGTTCATCTAAAACCTCCTGCAGACCACCACTCACTAATAAGGAGACAAAAGTTTGAGACAAAACAAAGAAGATTTGATAATCTGCTGATTATTTTCATTACCAATATAAAGACAAATATACAAATACAAACCTTAGTAAACCTTATTAAGTCCAGTTTTGAGGGGACTGTGTGTCAGTGTACGTGTTTGATTGACAGCAGAGGCAACAGGCTGAGCCTCAGCAGCTCATTATCTAAACAAGCCCTGCGCAATATGAGGAATATCTGCGATGTGCAGTAACACTGTTCAATATTGTGATGACGATATGACTTGTGATAAAAATAAACAAACATTAAAGAGTTCATATTAGCTATGCAGTTCCTGTGTCAGCCTGGTTTTCTTTTAATTAAGAACTGGATAAGAATTGAATATTTTAAATAAAACTACATGTTGTTTCTAGAGCAGCAACTGTAATGTTTAATTCAATCTGCCATATTTTAAGATACTTCACAAACTAAACTCAACAGACAGCTTTTATTTTGGTAGCAATTCACTATTAGCTGAGCTCAGCGCTGTGCTTGTGTAAAACATGGAGGAGGTGGATGAGAGAAAGCGGACAGAGCAGATATCACTTCTCCTCTGTCCCACATGTAAGTTAGCACAATATGCTGAAGGATTTTAGTGTTACTCACTGTGTGGTTATGTACATTATTACACACTGTTTCTGAGTGATAATTTTAGCTCAGAGTCTGTTCCTCACCCAGGAGGATCTTGTCATCTCGTGCCTAAACTACTGCAACTCACTCCTGTCTGCCTGCATGTGCCATCTGACCTCTGCAGCTCATCCAGAATGCAGCAGCTCAGCTGGTCTTCAACCTACTGAAGTTCTCCCACACTACACTGCTCCTCCACACCCTGCACTGGCTACTGGTGACTGATCAAATCCCTTTTCTTATCACTGGTACTTGCCTACTGTGCTGCCAATGGTGCAACCTCATCCTACATCCAGGACAAGTAGCACTTGAAGATGTTCAGCATATTTGATGAAGTTGATGTAGTTACATGATTGATGCAATTTTTGAGTTTTATCCACATGGTTGAATAAACTTAATGTAATGAAATGTAACAGATTAGATTTTTAAGATGTACAGTCTTACTTTGTACAGTGCTGGTCTGACTGGCTGTCTGCAGTCCAGCTCTTGTTCTGGGTCTTTCTCCACACTGGGGACAGGAGGAGTCTCCTGATGAAGCAGACTCGTCCCAGTATGAGGTGATGCACTGTCTGCAGAACCAGTGTCCACAGCTGGTAGAGACCGGATCCTTCAGGACGTCCTGACACAAAACACAGCAGGACAGCTGCTCCTCCACAGAAACATGACTCCTCTCCCTCTCTCTGTGAAGACATTTCTTTATTACTAAAATGATTTGTTGATTGTTGATGAAAAATACTGAGATTTGTCCGACACTGTCTGGAAGCTCAGATGGTCACAGAGAACATTAAAAGTGTTGTTAACTTTTCTGTTTGTATTCAGCATTCAGTCTGTAATGAAAATGATTCCTTTTATTTCAACTCTCCTGCTTTCATAAACACTGAGTGCTTTTCCTATCTGTCTGTCTTATTAAACATTTATTGATCTGCCTGTAGTTTCTTATTAATACAAACTCAACACTTCCTGCAGCTGCTTCACAATAAAAGCCTTCCATTAAAGAGAGCTGATTATGTCCTTCACTGTTCTACAGTCACTTTGGGCAGATTAGCTTGTGTTAGTTTAAACTGAGGTTAGAAGTGCTCTAAATAATTATGATAGACCAGCAGTTTACTGTAAGACACATAGCACGTAACAGTGGTGTCACAGGTTCAACTACAAACTGTTAATTTGTTTGTTTTTCATTCCTTTTATGTTTCCTGTCACTCTATATTGTCAACTATCAAATGAAGGAATATATCCAGTTCAAATATTCTTAAAAAAGAAGTCTCCAAATCTACATTTGACATTTTTTTGTCCATGTTTTTAAATCTGCAGATAACTTTTACATAAATAAATGGATGTTTGTTTCTTCATCTTTAGAAACAATATATTTAATTACACATTAGAAACAGATTCTTTCAGATAATAGTTACAAATATTTACAGCGACTTCAACATCAGAGCAAAAATATATGAATATTATTATATTATATATGAAATATAAACTCTGAAACTGAGGTTCTCAAGTGTTTTGTTAAAGAAATAAAATAACATACATTTTAGTTTGAAACAGTGTCTGCACTAATAGTTCTGCATCGTGAAAATAAATCTATTTGGTCTTCATGCTCAATGAATCATCTTCCATCAGGTCAGTTTACAGTAAAAACAGTTTCTTACTTTGTGTCTGAGGGTTCAGGTTCATTACTGAAGTCTGGAGGATCATCTTTGGACCAATCACTCTTCATAGACAGACAGCTGGACACTGGAGACTCTGCTCTCTGTCTGTTGTAGTGAACTCTGCAAACAACAATATGGTTTTATTCACATGAATCCTTTGTCCTTTAATCTTTCCCATTTAGGAAGTTGTAAATAAACAAACTGCTGCTACTGTTGATAAGTAGGAGACAAAAGTTTGTATTAGTCCTCTTACATTAGATTGACTGACAGCTACAGATACTAAGAGGAAGATGGAAGGAAAGATTTCTCTTTGTTAGTGTCACAAAAAGTTTTAGCAAATACAGTTTGGTAGAAAATTTAAAATACAAACATTAAATCAACAGAGAACATACAGGTAACTGAATATAAGTGAAATTAATGAGTTAGTGTCGGTTCTCTTACTTTGTGTCTGAGGGTCCAGGTTCGTTACTGAAGTCTGGAGGATCATCTTTGGACTCATCACTCTTCATAGACAGACAGCTGGACACTGGAGACTCTGCTCTGTCCTCCTCTTCCTCCACACAAACACTCATCTTCTGCACTTCAGTCAGTCTGAGAGATACAATAATAACACTGACTCAAAACAGAAGAATCAAGAAAAACAGGTTTGTTCAAGAGTCACACGCAAGACTGAGAGAACAGCAACAACAGCACACACACTCACACTCACACACACACACACACAGACACACACACACTCACACTCACACACACACAGTACTCTGTATAGTATATAGAGTATACAGTATAATATAGAACTCCACCTGGTCACTTTCTTTAACCCTGTACTTGTTTTCTTGGGTTACAGTAGCTTTAATCTGTATTATTCAGTCAATCACAACTTTGTATCCACAGATGAATCAAACTGTTGAGTTCATTCTAACATTTCTGTCCTCTACAGTCCACAGGAAGAAAACTGACTCAGAGACTTTGACAGTAAAATAATAATAATGTTGTATTAACACTCACCCTGCCTCAGCCTTCAGTTTCCCTCCTTCAGCTCTGTCGACTCAAAATGGAGACTGAACCAGCTGAACACTTTCACTTTCAGAGTTTCCTCCCTCTTCTCATGAACCTGGATCACCTGCTCAGTGTTGCTCCTCCCCTCTACAGTTACAGGTAATCAGGTGAGTTTATCTGTGTGTGTGTGTGTGTGTGTGTGTGTGTGTGTGTTGCTCACAAAGATCAGCTGTTTAACATGATGAACGTCTCCTGGGTTTGACAGATGTAATTAAAATGAGTAGTTTGATATGTTTTAAATATAAAAAAAACCTGTAAGACTCATTCACAATGAATATATGTATATATAACGTTATATAACACATTACAATCCAACAGCACCACTAACTCAACCTCTAAAATAAAGTTTAATCAACCTCTGTAAAACACTTTCACTTTGTATATGCTTCATTATACTGAAGCAGGTAAGAAGAAATATATAACCTAACGTTAGTTCTCCAGATGCTGACGATATCACAGCCACAATGTAAAATAATAACAAAGCAGGAATTTAAGTGAAACCCATCGTTGTCCAGTGTATAATTAATTAAATTTATGGTAAAGACAGTTACCTTAGCTGGCTTAATGCAGGCAAACAGCTACAACTGCTAGTGAAACACAGACACAAGCATTGTAGCAATTAACTTAATGTCTTTAAAACATTAATGTGTTTTAGAAAGTGTTTTTATATATGTAACACGATCATCAACTTCATGTTTAAGTTCTTAATGTACACAAATTACAGTAATGCAGTATTTGACAATGATATTCTGTGTTCTAAATTCAACATTTCCCATAAAAAATGTGTAAAAAGAAAATCACAAACATTATAAAAATGAGACAAACGTAAATGAGAATGAATTTAATAAAATATTAATAGTTTTCAAACATTAAATTACAGATTAAACCTAAACATTCTGGTTTATACATTAAATAAATCAGTGTTATCTATGTTACAGTCGCTGGTAATACACTGCAACTCAATTACTGGCCACAAGAGGGCGCTGTTGACCTCATAATTATAATGTGGTCAATAGCGCCCTCTTGTGGCCAAATAACAGAACTGCAGTTAAAACAATGTAAACAGAAAACAGCAGTTTCCTACTTCAACACTGAATCTAATCCAGCTGCAGCAGTTTACCAACATTAAAAACTCCTTCAGGGGAAATATGAGGAGAAAATAAAATGTCAAAGCTTCCTGTTTCACAGCTGAACTTGATATTTATGTTGATGATATTAAAAAAATCCCCCACTTA